GTTAGAAAATTTTCTCAAAAAAATTATCCGATGCTTTTGAAGGGGAATGAAGGGGGAGGCAAAAACTGTAAAATTCTGGTTTATATGGAATTTCATATTTATTGTTTCACACTATGAATAGAACTTCGAGTTTAATTACAACTACAATCTTATTCAATAAGCACATAAATTCAAAATTAGTGAATCACTTATTGAAATATTGAAATTGAATAGGTCATGAACCGAGACACATCGTTCTCATTAATCTTAACACTCAGTACAATAAGAAGGACAATGTATAATTAATTTTGAAATGAATCAAAAAGAAAAAAAAGAAAAAGAATAGTGAAAAGGCATCAACGTCGTGGCTGCACTTTGATTGGTTGAAATGAGAAAGAAGAAAATAATTTTAAAAATTCGAGAAATTCGTCGAATTTTCTCAACAATTTTGCTGAATTTTAGAGTTTCATAAGAAAAAATCTAAGAATTCTGTTTTATGGAAAAATTGTGAAAATTTCAGATGATTTAACAAAGTTTGTAATTCATGAAATCTTCGTATGAAATTATCAAGAACATCATGAATAAAAACAAGTACTCCAAATTAGTAAAAGGGCATTAGAATTGGTTAGAGAATTTTCTCAAAAAAAGATTGAATGCTTTTGAAAAGGTATGCAGGGGAATAAAGCGGGAGGCAAAAACTGGAAAATTCTGGGCTATATGAAATTTTATGAGTATTGTTTTACACTCTGAATGGAATTTCGATTTTAATTACAATTCAAATCGAAAAAGTATCAGATCTTATTCAGTAAGCATAGAACTTCAGAAGTAGGGAATTAATTATTAAAATACTGAAATTGAACAGGCTATGAACCGAGATACATTGTTTTCATTAATCTTGATACTCAGTTAGTACGATAAAAACGCTGCTGAATAATTAATTTTTGAAAAACAAAAAATTGAAAAGAAAAAAAAGAGGAAAAGGCACAATAAAAGGGCATGGACGTCGCGGCCGCTTGTAAAAAAAAGGAGAAAGGAAATCGATCTCGATATATCTCGAAAATCTCGAATCACTGTCACCGTAAGACTGAAACCGAAGCGCCACTAAGTGAGGAGATGAGAAGGCGCGTGCGTAGCGCGCGACCGGTCTCGTTGAATAAAAAAGAACATAATTTTATGGTAGATGACTTCTTACGTCATACATATTCGAAAATCATTGATAGAATGACGATGTTTCATTTTTTGACAAAAACTATTTTCACGTAAATTGCTCTATGCCAAAATATATTGAATCGATCCGCCCAAAATTTTGTACACTAGTGTAACTCAATAGTATTAACTATTACCCAAAATTTTGCATTGTATTTCCACCTTCTACGTTTATTGTGGAACGTTAAATCAACTCTGAGATGAAAAAATTAGAAAAACGTGAATATCTCGAAAACCTTGTATGAATGGGTATCCAGATTTTGATTGATCTCGATAGTGGACATCGAGACGAATATTTTGAAAAAAAAAATTTTTTCAATCCAACCAGTAGTTGAGGAGATATTGAGCAAAACATATCTTCGAAAAAAGTTAAATATCTCCTAAACTACTCGTCCGATTCCACCTTTCCACAATATTAGCCAGTAGGACCATAAGAGTTGCAATTGTACCAAATGTCAGCTTTCTATCTCAATTTTTTCGACCGTTATCGCGTGTACACCGATTTTATAACAAAATCAAAAATGCTGATTGCTACTAAGTTATCCCTGGTTAGGTAGAAATATCAAGGGACGCGGTAGCGTCCTGATTGTCAAGAACGGGACCGCTGCTGCCATATTATACGCGAGTCAACTTCCCCTTCCACCCATCAAAAATTTTAATAATTATTTTTCTCGCATATGCCTCACATGAGGATATTCTGGAGTTGAGAAATAGTTTCCTCGATTACCTCACTCATTATAATAATTTTTTCCGACGCCCGCAATCAATAATAGTTGTAGAAAACTAATTTTCAATAATTTATTCCCTTGGATTTTCCTCAATTCATTTCTCCCGATCCGTTAAGCGGAAATTTTAGCGGCTAAGTTGGTAGCACCGATTTCGGGAATCAGCTGTATTGGATAATGTCAGGCTCGAATTCAAAAGCGATTGGCTGATCGAGCCCGCCCTACACTCGACATAAACACCGGAGTTTGTGAATTACACGGAATTACTGTCGGTGGATGAACTAAACAGTGAACTAAGAACAGTTTCTTCAAAAACTGATGGATAATAGCAGTGAAAAATTGTAAATACATTCGTCGGGCCCATGAGTTTAATTAATTTGAATCCTCGTTGGTGAATTAATTTGTATGAAAACAACAATCTAACCTCCANGAATTGGAAATACATTCGTCGGGCCCATGAGTTTAATTAATTTGAATCCACGTTGGTGAATTAATTTGTATGAAAACAACAATCTAACCTCCAAACTAGAAATGATTCTTTAATAATATTGTAGGTGCAATGAAAAAAAAAACGAAAAATAGGAATTTCTGACAGGAAATACCCCCGATCGTGAGTGGGAGTTATTAAATTTGGCACAAGTTGTATTATAAATACAATATATCAATAAAAATCAGAACAATGCGTGGAAAAAAAAAGTTACTTTCAATTCCAAAAAACTGTTAATTTATGATATGTTAAAAATTATTCTTCGGTTTACGGAAATGGACAAAGTGTCTATCGAAATGTTTAAAATCTTCCCACAAAAATAAAAACCATTTTTTGTTGCCAATACAATCCTGAAAAAAAATTCCAACCATGGTTTGATTGATAGTAATTCTGGAGTCGGGAGGATGTCTTCACAAAAAATGTGTGAAATCTGCTCAAAAAAACAAAAACAAAACTTCTTTGTTAAAAAACAAATCGCCAAGAACGGGAATTGTTTTATAAACAAAAAGTGGTGAAATCAGGAAAAAAGCTATTGCCAAGTACTGACAAGTAGAAGCTGGAACTCAAAAATACAAATAAAGAAATCAAATAGACAATGAAAATTATGAAAATAACAAAATCGAGTTGATAAAAATTCCGAAACAACCTACTTGGCGTGATTCGTCTTCACTCGAATCACATGCCGAGTGGGTTGACTCGGAATTTTTATCAACTCGATTTTGTTATTTTCATAATTTTCATTGTCTATTTGATTTCTTTATTTGTATTTTTGAGTTCCAGCTTCCACTTGTCAGTACTTGGCAATAGCTTTTTTCCTGATTTCACCACTTTTTGTTTATAAAACAATTCCCGTTCTTGGCGATTTGTTTTTTAACAAAAAAGTTTTTTTTTGTTTTTTTGATTACAACTTACAACAATATTCAAATATTTAATATTTAAGTCGAAAAAATTCAATTCAGTCGCGTACTTTTTGAGATATTGACAAATAGTATATTTCGTAACGAGTGCAAAAAAGTGTTTTTTGGCGAGTAGGAGGTTTATATCACGAGCCGAAGGCGAGTGATATAATCCCACGAGCATTAAATCGATCGTATGATTTAGGAGATATTTGCAAAAAACGATTTTGAGGAATCGCTAGATCTCAGGATCCGCTAAATCAATCAAGCGGAAATTTAGCACAAATTTAAGTTTCAGTAGCACAAATTAGCAGCCAAAATTTTAGAGCTTTTGCATTAATCATTTCCGAGTTATGGAAACTGTTCTGGACATACGAACACTGAGAAAAAAAATGCTTTTGCCAAGTATATTTTCTTGCCACAAGTAAATGTATATAAATATCTGTATAAGACATGAGTAAATTTTCTTGTAGTTAGTAAATATACTTGGCAACAGTCATTTTTTCCTCAGTGAACCCACATGTGTACGCACATACATACATTTTTCAAGAACATCATTTCGTCATATTTCATGATATTTCCAGAGATGTCCACTGAAAATTAAGAAATCTAAGAAAATCACAATTACACAGCTTTCATTCAGAAGCGCAAATTGAAAAAATTTCCGAAATTACTCATCAAACACTTGTGGTACCTGAAAAAAGCAGTATTACCCTTCTTAATATGGACTTCGAAGCCGCTCGTCTATCTCGCAAATACCCATCGTGCAACGGCAACATCTACCCACGCATCCATCCATCTACATTTATTGAGACCACATTTCATTGAAAAGAAAAATTCGTAACTTGGAAAAGTTCGGATAAACTCGGAATGTGGCTGCTGTAAAAAACTATTTAAGCAATAAAGGTCAATAATTTTACGATGACAGTTGCGAGGATAGACACACGTGTACTGGGACGTTTGATACGTCTGTTTCAATACCCTGCAATGCTCTCCTCTCATTCCATTCATTCTTGACATCATTCACACGATGGCCATGAAAAGGCGGAACGGCGGAGGTGATCAAGGAACTTTGAAACAAAGCAATTCACCTTTTACATTTATGTTTTTTTGCAACCATTTTTTTCTTCTAGTCAATCCTCTCTAACCTCCATTCATTGTAGTGATGAATAATAAAATTTCAAAGAAGGGTAACAGAGATATCTAAATAAATACGAATCAATGTGGAATGATTTGATGAGAATTTGGAGAGTCAATTCGGAGAATTTGGAATACCTGATGAAGTTTCATATTTTTGAAATATGGACCACCAAGCTAGAAACAATTTTGAGTGTCGAGATAAGCGCGTACTACAGGATGTCCGACAACTAGGTTAAGCACGCGGCTGACACTTTCCGAACAAGAATAGTTGGTAGATTTTTATTACTGATAAAAAATGTAAATAAAGACACTCACCTTGTCAAGACACTTGAGTTCCTCAATCGGGTAAACCGTTTTTTCACAACGCGCACACGTCTTGTTCATTCTTATTGAAAATGTTATTGTTTTCACTGATTTATCTCTTGGTCACTCCTCCACGTCAACAGTCCACTGTAGCAACTAAGTGCACATTTGGCTTTAAGCACTGAGCGGATTCAATTTCAAGTGGCGAAAGATAAATTTTAGAATAATTTAGGTTGGAAGATTGAGTTCTGTTTGGATTTTCAGAACTTGTTAGAGTGAAGACGCAAGCTACTGATTACTATCTCGATGAACTAAGAGAGGGGACAAATATACTTAAGCGCGTAGCTCGCACTGGTGTCGTCAGGGAGAAAGAAATCTGAAGGGCAAAGCTAGTGAGCAAACCTGAAACCACGTTTTGCCGACAGGCACTACCACTGGCGCTGCTGTTGCAGCGATATAGCTGGAGAAGTAGGGTTGGACAGATAGATGGAAACGAGAATTTTCTACCAAAACAGTTAAATAACCGGTAAGTTCCATTAACAATTTTTAATACGTAAATTATCTATAGAACACCTCCCTCCCATATGTACCTCAACTAAGCTTCCTTACTGAGGCTCATTAGATTTCCTATGGGAGCGAATCCGCCAATTTTGTATATGGAAAATTACTTCTAATTTTTACGTTTTTGCTTCGGAATGGAATCATTAGATTCGTCGGATTTTGACATTCTCCAATTGAGCCTGGAAATGATGTAGAATGGTATGAAACGTGATGAAATGATGTTTTTAGAAAATGTCTGTATGTACTTAGTCTGTATGTCTTTTCAGAAAATATAACATTAATACGGTGAAATTTATTAATAAACATATGAAATTTTTGGCCTATAATAGATACTATTGAGCACAACTTCGGTGCAAAGTTTCAGCCCGATCGGTCCAGTAGCTCCTGAGATATTCCACTTTTTGTATAAAACTATTTTGGTCAATATCTCGAAAACTACTCGACCGCTTTCCAATTTTTTTTTCAAAATGCTACTCTCAATTTCTTTTATATGGATCAATTAAAATATATATACCCGTTCATACAAAGTTGTCGGGATATTCGATTTTTTCTTTAACTTCCTTGTTCGCACGATAAATGGAGCAAAAATTGAGATAGAAGTTTGAAATTCAATGGGATTGCAGCTCTTATAACACCAAAGATTGGTATTTCAGCTGGGCGATATCGGTCCAGGAGTTCTTGAGATATTCCACTTTTTGTTTGCTTCCGAATGGAAGCTTTAAAAACCCAATTTTTTTCGATTCACTAATTTTGCTTGGACATGACTCAGGGTGGTCTGAAACGTCGAAATATGATGTTTTTTAGACGCTGTCTGTATGTATGTGTGTGCATATGTGTGTATGTTTGTCCAGAAGTGTGTTAATAAATCCGGAAAAGTAATTACAAAAAAGCTGAAATTTTGGCTCATCGTTGGAACTAATGAAACAAATCTGTGCAAAATTTCAGCCCAATCAGTTGAGTAGTTCCTGAGATATAGCGAATTCTGAAAAATCGTTTTTTGCAAATATCTCCGGAATGACTGGACCAATTTCTTTCTTTTTTTTTTAAATATTTGTCACGATAATACCTATCTCGAGCCATGGAAATTTAATCACCCCGTTATCGAAAATTGAGTTTTATTGTCAATTTTGCTTCCGCATGGAAGCTCTGTAATCGTCTGATTTCCACAATCTCTAATTTTCATTGGAAATGATGTAGAATGGTCTGAAACGTAAAAATACGAAGTTTGGTGACCATGTCTGTATGTGAATATGTCCACCGCCACCTTCCCAATGGCCAATTTTAGAAAATTGAGTAATTATGTGGCTAAAATAATTCAAAAAACTTTGGAAGTTTGTCTTTGTCAGGTCTTAATGAGGACTAACTCTGTGCATAATTTCAGCCCGATCGGTCAAGTAGTTTTTAAGATAAAGCGATTCGTTTATAAATCGTTTTTCACGAATATCTTTAAGGGGTAACGGAACTCGTCGCACGCAGAGGTTAGGGGTCCCCCCTATCGGTATTGCAGGTTCCCGTGGTTTTTTGGATTTTGTACGTGAAAAGTACAAAATCCCATGAAATATAAATAAATGGATATAAATAAATAATGGTACGGAAACATTCTACCATGCTCATAGATACTACTGATAGCCACATACACCCGAAATTGTCATAAAAACATATAACATTTGGATTCGTTAAAAATCCAACGGCTATAGCAGTGACATGCAAGGAAAGGGATTTCCACTGAACTTATTTCTCCATTTCTGCACTAATTACAGTGCTAAAAATAATGAAATTTGCCAATAAATAGTGCTGAGCCGAAAATCATGCAAATTATCATAAAAATTTATGATAGTTCGATTGTTGGACATCCAACAGCTGTCTTTGCAACATCAGCAAAGTCCAACGGCTCTGGCACTATCAGAGTGAGAGCAATAAATGAAAGGAACAAATAAACAGTGACAGAAGCCGTGCTGAAAATTGGAAAAAATGTCACAAAGTGACAGCTGCTACATCCGAGATGTCCAATAGCTCTGCCATCGTTGAGCAAGCATATTGGTGCAATTTATCATTTTTTCACTCGTGAGAGCGAAAAAATATGATAAATTAAACGACTAAACGGTGGCAGGAGCCAAAAAAATATAAAGAATGTCACAAAGTGACAGTTAGCACACCAAAGATGTCCAATAGCTCTGCCATCGTTAAGCAAGCATATTTGTTCAATTTATAATTTTTTCACGCATGAGAGCGAAAAAATATAATAAATTGAACAAATAAACGGTGGCAGGAGCCAAAAAAATATAAAGAATGTCACAAAGTGACAGTTAGCACACCAAAGATGTCCAATAGCTCTGCCATCGTTAAGCAAGCATATTTGTTCAATTTATAATTTTTTCACGCATGAGAGCGAAAAAATATAATAAATTGAACAAATAAACGGTGGCAGGAGCCAAAAAAATATAAAGAATGTCACAAAGTGACAGTTAGCACACCAAAGATGTCCAATAGCTCTGCCATCGTTAAGCAAGCATATTTGTTCAATTTATAATTTTTTCACGCATGAGAGCGAAAAAATATAATAAATTGAACAAATAAACGGTGGCAGGAGCCAAAAAAATATAAAGAATGTCACAAAGTGACCGTTGGCATACCAAAGATGTCCAACAGCTCTGCCACCGTTCAGCAAGCATATTTGTCCAATTTATCATTTTTTCAGTCATGAGAGTGAACAAATAAGATAACTTAAACAAATAAACGGTGGCAGGAGCCAAAAAGAAAATATAAATAATGTTACAAAGTGACAGTTGGCACACCAAAGATGTCCAACAGTTCTGCCACCATTGAGCAAGCATGGAAAGAGTGGAAAGAGTGGAAAATTACGAGAAGAAAGATGATTAAAAAAGAGAAAAACACTTTTACCGACTTTTGATTTTGTTTTATTGAACAAATGGATTGTGGGGGAGGGGGCATGGGGAACGGCGATGGCAGCAGTGGCCATACTGTTGGTGGTACCATCAAGGGCTGGATGGCTTGGTGTCACGAACATTGGTGGCCAGTGATACGTGGATGAGTAGACCTCACTCTGCTTCTCCTTATTCCTCAGAGTCTGCAAAAAAAAGGTCGATGTTAGGCTATGATTATTGAGAAATATCAATAATATTACCTTTTCCAGATGGGCAATTCTTTTCTTCATTGCGCAAGTCTCCCGCTGCTTGTTTCGGAAGTATTCCTTCCTTTCTTGGGTGCTCTTCCGTCATTCCCTTATTACTTGCGGAGTTGATGTGGGCGCAATCTCTGATTGCCGAGTGATGATGTCCTTCCGTAATGGCCTGGGCCTGGGTGCTGAAAACAGAAGACAATCAAAATAGTATGGGGGCAGATATTTATTGTGCATGTACTTACCAATCAAATTTATGCTTCTGGATGTCGAACACACTTCGCGTCCTTTCTCTTCTTTGGTCATGTTGTCGTGCCTTGTCGTGTCTCTTGTGGATATCTCTGGTTGCGGAGTGATGTCCATTGGTAATCTCCTGGGCCTGGGTGCTAAAAGAGGAAGAAAATAAAAACAGTGAGGAAGAAATTTATCCCGATTATACTTATGACAGACATTAATTAGATTAAATATTTATGTTGAAATATTTATACCCACCAACCGAATTAATTTTTTTAGACGTTGAACATACTACGCGTCCTTACTCCGCTTGGATATTCACCACTTTCATCGTGATGTTTATATCTGCAAAATAAATCACAACGTAGTGTATACGCTATACCACCTTTCTGTGGACATGAAAAGGACGGCAGGATTTGATGATCGGCATTTATGTTTTCGGAGTTGGAGAATCCGAATTTCTTGGTGTTTTTGCGATCCCATTGAGCAATTATTAATTATAAACAATTTTACCTCAATTTTTTATTTAAAAAAATGATTTTTAATGCAAACCATGAAACACAGAAAAATATTCCAAATGGTAGTTGTTCGCCTTTTTCATACGAACAAAACGCGTTTTGATTTATCGAAATCGACCCAGTCTTTCGCGCGCTATCCACTAATTAGGGGGTGTTTTTAATGAACAAATGATTTTTTATGAAAACGATGAGAGATATCGGAAAACGTCTCGAATAAAAGTTGTTCATCTTTTCAATACGAACAAAACACCCTTTAATTTATCGAAATCGACCCAGTCTTTCGCGCGCTATCCACTAATTAGGGGTTTTTTTTAATGAACAAATGATTTTTTATGAAAACGACAAGAGATATCGGAGAAGGTTTCGAATAAGAGTTGTTCGTCTTTTCAATACAAACAATCATGAGAATTTTTTTAAGTGAAAAATGAAGTGAAAATGGATTGAGTAATTGAGAAATACCGCAGGCGAAGTTAGTCAGATAGAGTTCTGGTTGAGCATGCAAAGCTGCGCGTTTTCCTCGTCCGGCTTTACTCGTATAATCAGCTCCTGTCTAATGATGCACTGTCGATAGACATTGAAGGACATTGAAATCGTAATGAGAAGCAACTATGTGAAGAGGGACGATTTTCTTCGTTGCTCCGGAATCAACAGTTATCCAAAGTTGCTGTGATGGAAAAAAAATTACTTATGGGAAAATATAATAAAATTCGTCATTTTCCTTTATTCCACTTGGTTTAAAGGAGGGATGACGATAAAGTGCGAGGTCAAATACGTCAGTGTCATAAGAGGAAATTAAAATTTTCTTTCGATCGTTCATTGCTGCGTGTGTCACATGTACCATGATTCGTACGTCAGCAAAAACTGATTTCCAAATCAGCATGAAATTTTTAAACCTTGAAAATTGCAACAATTTTCAAAAAATGTGATT